GCGTGGCAAGGAGGGGTGACCCAGGCGGTGGTGCCAGAGAAGAGTCTGGTGCGACAGGGAACGACACTCACAGGCGTGGGCCACCAGACCTGACGCAGACACCTGACCGACAGCAGCGACCTGAGGAGACGCAGTGGTCAGTGTGTAGAGACTCGACCCCGGCCGACGGGTAAACGTAGCCAGGTGACGGCCGGTCCTGGAGCACGTGCAGATCGCCACACGCTGTCCTCCAGGGGTAAAGGTGTCAACCCACTGATCCTGGATGACAGCGTTGCTCACCAGGTTCGTCGAGAACGAGGGGAGGTGGAAACCCGACAACGAGCCAGACGGAACCGCCGGACAAGGGAGTACAGTGGTGGACTGGGCAAGGACTGGGCCCCCAGAGGGGTCAGCCAAGGAGACTGGGACCGGTGCAGGAAGCGGTGTGAGCTCAGTACTGTCACGAAAGAAACAACGGGAAGCACCTGAGTCAAGGGTGAAGGTGTGACAGGCCTCAGCCGGTGCGGTACCTGAGAGAGCAGTCTCTGTGGGTGCTGTACCTGAGAGAGCAGACTCACTAGTACCCAGGGCAGCGGGCTCTATACCTGGGTCAGGCGGCACACACAAGTAACAGTCTCCCTCGGCACTAACAGTCAATGCATACATGGCAGCAATAATAGCATCATAGTCAAGAGCAAAGACATCAACACCAGCCCTCATGAGCTCAGCCCAGCGGGGGCGCTCAACATCCTCACCCATCTCCTCACGCCAAGCGTCGTCAAGGCGGGAGAAGCAGCGGTACGGGGTGTGGAACCTCCCACACGTCTGTCCCTTGCGGTCACCTGTGCGAATGACATAGGAACAGCGGCCACTGCCCCCCGACGTCCCACGCTGAGCAAGCCACTCACGAAGCTGCTGGGTCGTCTGGGGACGCTGCTGCTGCTGGGAGCTCTGGCCCGAGCCAGTGCCTCCACTCCGACCTCCGCCGCCACCACTACCACCGCTCCGACCGCCACCGCCACCACCGCCACCACCGCCACCGCCGCCACCACCGCCGCCGCCACCACTGCCACTGCTTCCGCCGCCGCCCCCGCCTCCACCGCCGACCCCACTCCCACCAGCGCTCCCGCCACCGCTCCCTCCAGCACCGCCTCCTCCCCCACCTCCCCCACCTCCTCCCCCCCCAGCGCCACCACCACCACCCTTGCCCCCCTTGCCCTTGCCGGTGCGGCGCCTCCCACCAGGAGCAGAAGCAGCGCCAACAGACTCAGCACCAAGGAAGTCAACAGCAGCAGCAGTAGCGTAGGAGGGAGCGAGGGGAGAGGGAGAACACCCCTCAAAGATGGGGGTGCGAGGAGCGCCGCGAGCAGCACCTACAGCTACAATGCTCTTCTCGGCTGCTAGCAGCTTCTCCTCTAGGAGGGCGACAGTGAGCTCAGTGGGACAGCGAGCAAGGAAATAGTCGCGCACTGAGCTGAGGGTGTCAGGGAGACGGGTGACTATGAAGTGGAGTGCCCAGTACAGGGGAGGGGGGTTCTTAGCGCAGAACTCGGTGGGAAGGGCGGCACGCAGGCGAGCATCACTAGTGCGAAGGTGGGTGATAGTAGCAAAGGTGGACAGGTCAGGGAACAGGTAAGGCAGCATGAGACGGCTAAGCTCGGCTGTGGCAGGTGAGGAGTAGCGAGCAACGACAGCGTCGTATAGGGCTTTAGCGGTTTTGCAGTCGCCAAAGTGCTCTAGCTCAGCTAACGGCAGGTGACTGCGAATAGCCAGGCGAGCTGCAGCGTCACGAGTCTGCCACTGTGAACGTACACTAAGCTCGGCTGTGGCAGCAGGAGCAGCGGCAGCACCAGACGCGTAGTCATAGAGGGAGATGTGGTCCGTGCTATTGCTCATAAGATACAACTGCAGGTCGTCGAGCCAGGAAGTGAACTGCACGGGACGGCCCTCAGCATCGAAGGAAAGAACGCGAATAGAGGCCATAGCTCAGGCGTGAGGGCACAGCAGAGCAGCGGCAGCAGCAGAGGGGACGCGCTAGAGCGAAGCTAGCAGCCACAGCAGGAGCAAGCGGCGGTGCACAGGCAGGGAGCAGCAGGCGAGGCGGGCGGCGCTGCAGGCGGGAAGTGCGGCGGGCGGGCTGCGAAGCGGGCAGCGGGGCGGGCGGGCGACGCGGCGAGCGGGCAGCGCGGCGGGCGGCTGCGAAGCGGGCAGCGGGCGGGCGGGCGACGCTGCAAGCGGGCAGCGGGCGGGCGGGCGACGCTGCAAGCGGGCAGCGAGGCGGGAGGGCGACGCTGCGAGCGGGCAGCGGGCGGGCGGGCGACGCTGCGAGCGGGCAGCGAGCGAGCGGGCGACGCTGCGAAGCGGGCAGCGGGCGGGCGGGCGACGCTGCGAGCGGGCAGCAAGCGGGCGGGCGACGCTGCGAAGCGGGCAGCGGGCGGGCGGGCGACGCTGCGAGCGGGCAGCGAGCGAGCGGGCGGGCCGCGAAGAGGGCAGCGAGCGGGCGGGCGGGCTGCGAAGCGGGCAGCGGGGCGAGCGGGCTGCGAAGCGGGCAGCGGGGCGAGCGGGCGACGCTGCGAGCAGGCAGCGCGGCGGGCGGGCGGCGAGCGGGCAGCGTGGCGGGCGGGCGACGCTGCGAGCAGGCGGCTCGGCGGGCGGGCGACGCTGCGAGGGGCGCGCGAGGGCGCTAGCGAGGGGCGCGCGAGGGCGCTAGCAAGGGGCGCGCGAGGGCGCTAACGAGGGGCGCGCGAGGGCGCTAACGAGGGGCGCGCGAGGGCGCTAACGAGGGGCGCGCGAGGGCACTAACGAGGGCGCACGAGGGCGCTACGAGGCTAGGGCACGGGGTAGCGTGGTAACCGCATGCGAGCGGTGGTGGGCCCTTAAAAAAAAAACGGTCGGTAGGTCCTAGGGACCTCCTGCTCTGAATACCATCTCAGAATAACTAGGCAAGAATGAATGAACTAGCAGAAGTTTGGGTACAAATATGAAACCCTAGTTGGGGTTGTACCCCATATTGGCTACCCCACTACAGCCTACCAACATATAACACATTACAATTTAACATGTGTGTGTGTGTGTGTGTGTGTGTGTGTGTGTGTGTGTGTGTGTGTGTGTGTGTGTGTATGTGTGTGTGTGTGTGTGTGTGTGTGTGTGTGATGTGTGTGTGTTTTTGTGTACTTGAACAAAATCCTTTCGGGAGTAAATATGTTCTAGTGATTTGTAAGGAAAATCACCTTCTAACAAGCACGTTATTGTTGCCAAAATGCTTTCGCTATATAACAATTCGCTCTTGCCCTCATGCATTGTGCTGTTTGCTTAGTACAATCTTCGTTCGCTCGCTCAATTGCTCTCGTAACATCACATCACCTCCTAGATAGTGACACTTCCACACATTCATTTTACAGCTTAGCACCTAAGCTACAGCACATATCCGTGGCTGGAGCGCAACATATCCCCCTGCACTAAGATCCAATGTTCAAGCCATAGTAGGGGAAAGAGACATGTTTTTTAAAGAGATGTAAAAACATGTCTGAAAAAACGTGTACCTTGCTTGCTCTCACTCGACCAAGCATCGTGGACATTTTTCTTGACAATTCTGTAGCCACAGGCCAACCCAGCTGGGCTGCCAGCTTTATAGCGAGACTGGTCTCCCTTAGCCAGCAGGATCGCTTTGTCGTCTTCGTGTCGGTTCCTCGTCAACCAGGGCCACTCACCACCACACCACACCAAACCAAAAGCAGCCTTGGCCACTTTATCCGTCAACCAGAGAAAGGGGGAAGCCCAGGAAGTGGGGGAGGGAAAGGGGCGGAGGCGTGGGTGCCAGCCAATGGGACAGGTCACATTGGTATTTTATGGTGTATATAGCAGCTTACACCGGTATTTTATGGGCCAGAAGGATTGCGTTTCCTTGACAGATGTCCATCACACACACACCATATTCTTCAGTAAATTGAGGATTGAGAAGCATGCGACACACTCCAGCAACGCGCTTTGTAAAGTCAGTTGTATCATTATGCGAGAATCCGGAATGATGGGTGTAAAACGTAAGAAAACATTCTGGGAAATGCACATCCGCTCCAAATCTGCGAGCCTCCGACAAGCAAACTCTGACGTGGCGGACATGCGGGTTTCGTTCTCCGGTTTCGCTGTGGCCATGAAGGATTACTTTTGGCGAAATCGCGCGCATCGGTGGAAATCGTGTTTGTCTCAAAAGAATCGACCCAAATTGCTCCCCAAATTACTTTTCCGTGGTTGGTCTTGCTCATCCTTGGGCTCGCTCCGCCCCGCTCGCCTTCCTCACTTCCGCATTCTCTCCCCGCGGCTCCCCCTTTCATCCCCCCTTGTCCCACGTCAACCCTCGCCTTACCTTCCGCACTCCTCGTGCTTCCCCTGCTCTCCCGCACGCCACGCTCCCCAAACTGTACTCCCCCCACCGCTCCCCCGACGCCACTTCCTTTCCTCCGCTCCCGCCTTTTCCCCTCCGCTCTGGTCTGGACTCTGGTCTGGACCTGATCGCTTCCCTTGAAGGGCCGCGGGTGCCAGCCAGGTCTGGACTCTGGGCCCTTCTGGACCCTGGACTGCTATGGCAGCATGTGGTCTCTTCCGCACTTCTGCCGGTGAGACCAGTTAGCTTCATCTCTTCTAAACTGTCTGAAGCAGCATTGCTGAGTTTATCGTGAATCCTTCTTGCTGTATCGGCGGCGTGCGGCTCATTCTTCTGTCAGATATAATCGCTGTCCCAGCAAACCTGAGCTTTGCGATAATTTGCGTCATCCTTTTCGTTGCGACGATTTTTCGTTTGATTGAGTTAATCACGTCGAACGCTACCTTATCTAGTAGGTTTGACCTTTTCGCGAACGCGCGGATATAAAGAACCGTTGTGATCTCGAAGCGGCGAGTGAAGCCACTGGCTTAAAATTGCGAGAGTAGTTGGCGACGTGAATGAAAGAAATGATTTGCGGTGCCTGCTGAATTATGCAGTGATGACGATGACGAATGGCGGCGCGATGACGAGTGGCGGTGCGATGACGAATGGCGGTGCGATTGCGTACGATGGAGTTGCGATTGGTGGTGAAGCGGCGGCGGATAAAAGTGTCGCAGCGCCGGATATCGGAAAATCTGCCGCGGCAGGAGCCAGCAGCGAAGCGCGAGGAGGCGGGAAGTCAGTGACGAGCGTGGGAACCGGCGACGGCAACGGGTCGACGGAAGAAGGCGCTTCGGTGGGGAAGAAGACGGCGGGAACGAGGCGGGTGGCGGAACGCGGCGCGGACGGGAGGCGGCCGCGCAAGCGGTGCAAGCTGGTGCTTTTCGAGAGCCGTCTGCCGCGCGACGGGTTCGTGTGGCTCAAGTACGGGCAGAAGGAGCTGTCGGGCGGCACCATGACGAGGTGCGTCGCACGATCGCACACAGTGACGGTCGTCGCACCGTATGACAGGAATCCTTGCACATTACGATAGGTGTCTCGCGCAACACGGGATATTGACTCACACAATCACGGATTTCGTCGCTTCGCACACCATGACGCGGTATCCTCGCACGCCGTGTCTGGATCGCACGGGGCTTCGTCGCACACAACACGGGATGTTCACACAGATCTATCGTCGCACACCATGAGGTATCTTCGCGCGCAATGGCGAGGTATCGTCGCACGCAATGGCGAGGTGTCGTCGCACGCAATGGCGAGGTATCGTCGCACGCAATGGCGAGGTATCGTCACACGCAATGATGAGGTCTCGTCGCCGCACGACGAGGTATCATCGCAAACAGTGACGGTATCGTCGCACCGCGGCGCGCCCATCGTTTTCACAACACCACGACCTAGCCATGCCGCCATACCCGTTGCCGCCATACCCGTTGCCGCCATACCCGTGCGCCCCTGATGCTATTCCGGCCCAGCGCGGCCTTCACGTGTCCGCACGGGCAGGCGCCGCGTCTTGCCGCTCCTCCCTGCCGCTCCTCACATTTTAGCATTCAAACATTTTAGATAAGTGTATCTTCAATTTCCCCTCTTCCCTTCTCTCCACACCCCCCCTCCCCCCCCGCGCTCCGCGGCAGGCACTACTTCAAGTGCAACGCGGCGGACTCGGCGGCGGGGTGCGAGGCGAAGCGCATAGTGGACTACAACAAGGTGGACCCCCGCCACCCCATCCGCGTCTCCACCACCGGCGCGCACAACCACGCCGCGCCCGCCGCCCCGCTCGGCCTCAGCCTCTGCCGCGAAGGGGATACGGCAGGCGCGGGGGGGATGGGGGGCGCGGGAGGGGCGGGGGGCGAAGGGGAAGAGGGGGAAGAGGGGGAGGAGTATTATGAGAGGAGGGACGAGCGGGAGTGGGGGGAAGAGGAGGACGACTACCCACCGCCGTTGCCGCTACCGCCAGCTTCACCGCCACCGCCGCAGCGCTTCCCTCTGATGCATCAACTGTCGGCTCCTGTCGGATTCTCCGCCTCTCATTCCCAGTCCCCTCACGCCTCCTCCCTCCCCGCGCCCACACTTCCACACGCACACGCGGACCGCACATCGCTCTCAAACCCGCGCACTCACTCCGAGCCCTCCGCCCCCCCTTGCTCCCCCTCCCACCCGCCCATGCAAGTCCCACTGCCGCCGCCCCATGCGCCCCAAGACCAACTTGGCGGGGGCCCGGGTGCATTTCCGCTGCGAGATATATCCTCACTACGAGCACAAGACGTATCCTCGTTACAGCCACAAGCCCTGTCCTCCTTACAGCGCCAACCCTCGTTACAGCCACAGGCGCTGTCGGCGTTACAGCAGCAGCCCGCGTTCCAGCCCGGGTCGATGCTGCCAGCAGTGGGGTGCGCGCGGGGCAGGGTGCGCATGGGGAGTGCGCTCACGGCGCTGGCATGGCGGCAGGGGGGAGAGCTGGAGGGGCAGCACGGACGGCTGGAACACGGGTGGCGGGAGCAGGGGCGAGAAGAGCAGGGACGCGTGGCGGACACGGTAGGAGTGTCAGAGACCGCTCAACGGGGCAGGCAAGCCGAGTCGCCCCCTCTGCCCTCAAACATGCCAGCTGGCGCAACCACCCTGCCCGCACCCGTGCTGCCTGCCGCGCCCATGCCGCCCGCGCCCATGCTTCCTGCACCCATTCCCGCACCCATGCCAGCAGCGGCGCCAGCAGCAACACCAGGAGGGGGCAGGGAGGGTGGCGCGCGGGACTGGCTGGCGGAACGGCAAACAGCAGGCGTGGCAGATGGGCGGGCGCGGCCACTGGGGCGCACAGCATCAGCGCCTGTGGGACGGATTGGGGCGGGGGAGGGGGGTGGGGCAGCGGCAGGGGGAGGGCGAGTGGGGCCTCGGCAGGCGTTTGGTGTGGATTGCTCGATGCCTCTGCTGCAGCAGTGGCTGCAACACCGCGCCACGCTCGCCCAGCAACAACAGCAACAGCAGCCGCCAAGCCCACCGCAGCCGTCGAGCCTACCACACGCACAACGAATGCAGCAGCCACCTTCACAGCAGCAGCAGCAGCAGCAGCAGCAGCAGCAGCAGCAGCGCGCAAAAGAAGCGGCGGG